TATCTGCCTCATTTGGTTTAATAGCTGGTTACTGTTCTGCTGTACAGAGGTATCACCATTTCTGTATCCAACTCCCTCCTAAAGAGCACTTAAGTCGTGTCCAGTCTGTTACTGTTACAAACAACTCTGCGTTGTTCATGTTCTCATGTGAAAGTACGCCTGTAAGAAAAATCCCAGAAGGAGATATGTTGGGCCAAAGGATATTTTTCAATTATTTCCAAATTACTCTCCAAAGAAATCGTCGTAGTGTACATACACTTCCATCAGTATCGTGCAGGAGTCTCTCTTTGCCCCTGCCCTTGCCAACAGAACAGGTTAATTGATAATCTTTGCAAATCTAATATAGTTTTATTCTGTTTTATGAATGTGGTTGAACATTGATAATGCTTTGATAGCCATGGAAATGTTAAAATATTTCTTTAAAAGATCCCCTGGACATTTGGGCCAGGTAACTTTTAGATCCTGTTTACCTCCATTTGCGTGGGTGTCACTGGGTGTTTTAATAACTTTTGTAGCTATGTGACTTTGAGTAACTCACTTGACCCCCATTTTTACCTCATCCTAAGTGGAAGCGGAGGACGCGTTAGTAAGAGCTGAGTATAGAAATACTGGGAAGGCGGAAAGGGCTGGGGAGGTGCAAACATGAACAGGTAATTCATCTGTAAATTTATTCTGATAAGAATGAAGTTGATTCTTTCTTCTTAGGAATAACCAGAGAGTAATTTTATCTGAGTTGACTTTGGGAAGACTCATGGTTAGTGGAGCCCAGCAGAATGAAATAATTGGGTAGAGCCTAGTGAATCCCAGTATGTAATAAATAATACATAAGGATATAACTCTGGACCAGAGTATATATTAAAGTATTAACCTGATTTTTTTTAATTGACATTTAGTAGACATTTATAGTATTTATTAGAATCCCATTAGTTAATGGATACTTATGGCATTTCATAGAATCTTAGTAAGACACCAATTATAAGACACACCATTATGCACCACTAAAGAAAACACTGCCAATTGTACTGTACCATCATTGAAATAAAGTGTTTTCATTTGTATAATGTTTTTTGTGTGTTGAAATAGTGTTTTTGTATATTTTCCTTAGTTTTGGGGGTTTTTGATTATTTTAAAAATATTTGCCTTCGTTCTGTTTCTTTTTCTCCTAGTCCCAAGTACATTTCAGTAATTACTCAGAAACTGCCTTTTTTAAGATCTGCTTGAGAGTTTTAGTGTAACAGAAAGAAAAATCTATTGCCAAAGCCATTATCTAAAGATTCCTTTGCCTAATTAGTGCTCCTAATTAGTTTTGGTTCTTCTGCCATAATCTCTTTTCATAAAGGGATGCTGCTTTTTCTTTTTTTAAAAAAAATCCTCCTATCTGTAATGTTTATCATTCCTTTTTGTTTCTTTGAAGAAAAGCATCTCGTGCTCTCCCCTATCAAGGCTTTCTGTTTTTCTCTTTCCAAGCCTAAGGTTACCATAGCAAGCAAACTTACCTATATCTAGCTCTTGTTCTTTCCAACATATTCACTTATTTTACCTTATTAACAATTGTTGTCATACCCTATAATCAGGGATTCTTTATCGTAAATTTAATCTTCAGGAATTATTCAGCTTCCTTGAAATTCCATGCAGCATTTTTTGTTTGTAGATTTTTCTCAGAAGAGTGTTTGTTGCTTTTATGCCATTCTCAAAAGATTCCATGACCCAAAGAAGATGATGAATAATGGTGATGTAGCGTCCACCAGAAGTTCTCGTTAAGACTCACAGTGCAGGCCGGGTGCAGTGGCTCACGCCTGTAATCCTAGCACTCTGGGAGGCCAAGGCGGGCGGATCGTTCGAGTTCAGGAGTTCGAAACCAGCCTAAACAAGAGCGAGACCCCGTCTCTACTAAAAATGAAAGAAATTGACCAAACAACTAAAAATAGAAAAAGTTAGCCAGGCATGGAGGCGCGTGCCTGTAGTTCCAGCTACCTGGGAGCTGAGGCAGGAGGATCGCTTGAGCCCGGGAGTTTGAGGTTGCTGTGAGCTAGGCTGACGCCACGGCACTCTAGCTGGGCAACAGAGTGAGACTCTGTCTCAAAAAAAAAAAAAAAGACTCACAGTGCAAACCACAGTTAACATCAGAGTAGAGGGGCAGGAAGGCACATGTACCAGCAGAGCAGCACCCAGCATCTCTCTTTTGTTGGAGTACGTTGGAGTAGTCCTCACAGCAGTCCACCTCCTGTCCAGAAGCCTAGCTAGACAACACCATTCCCGTGGAGAAATTTTCTTGGCAGCGATGGCATGTCATGCTGGACTACTCATAAGGAGTTGAAATGTATTAATAGCTACCTGCTTCCTTGGCTTTAATAAAAATGTGTCGCTATTCCATTCTGATTAAAGAACCTTCCTTCTGTGAAAGAGTAAATGGGTAAGAAAAATATTTAATATTTAAAAAATAAAGAAGCTTCTACACATTCTTTGATTTAAATCTTTTTAGCAGATATCTGGTTGAGGACCGACAATGTACCAAGCACTATGCCAGGGCTTAGGAAATAGAATTTAGCAAGACAAACATGGTTCAATCGCTCACTGAGACAGATTTAAACAGGCATTTGTAGTAGAAAATGTTATGTGGTGTGGTACAGTATAGTACAAGGTGCTGGGAGAGTAAAAAGAATACAGCTTCTAACCCCAGTGCTATCAACCCAACTTAAGAAACATTAATCACAGCAGAGATTTTTACTTTCTTTCAGTATAATTCATGATTATCAAGGAATTGTTGTGAACACCTTTGAATCTTAGGCCAGCACTGACGGGCGCTGCTGTTGTAAGGACACTATTTGAAGTAGTTAACGTGTGTAAAAATTTGGACTTTTTAAACCGTACATATCTGGTGAAATTGGCTCTGAGACTTTAAAAAGTTCATTTTTGTTTACTTGTTTTTCAGAATTGATATATAAGGAAGTTATGGACTTGGAAGAGAGAACCAAGAATGGAGTTATACGGGGGCAGCCTTCTCCTTTAGGTTGGTTACAATATAAGCTTAGTCAAGATTACACTTCTCATGTTTTAGTGGCCTGAAACCTGCAGTTCTTCCCATATTTACATAACCATTATTCTTCCAAGTTCAGTAAGTATAAGGAGTATAATTTGGTGGTTAAATGTGAAAGCATTGGTACACCATCGTACCAGTATATCATACAAATATATCGGTAACTGACTTCATAAAATGCACATCTCATCTTTTTCTGACGTCTTCAATACTGACATTCAATTGAAGAGCAGAAATTTAAAACCTTGTTTTTGTTGGCATTGTTGCATGTCTTTAAAGAAGAAATTTCTCAAAATTCAGTAGACTTACCTTTCTGTGATTTTGATAATCTTTACTTTGGCTAGATAAACAAAGGCTTCACTGCAAAATTTGGTACATGTGACACCAAGTTAGTGTCTTTCCCTTTTTGGTATTTTTCATTTGTTGAACTGAGGCAATAACATTAAAACCATCACTAGAAAGTGTTTGTTCTTGAAAAAGAAAACTGATTTGCAGGATTAAAACACTGTCTTTTATCATAAGCTGATCTTATATTTAATTTTAGCACGTGTAAAATTATAAAGAAGTGAGAGGAAAAGTTAAATGTCAGGTAACCGTACGTGTTAAGTGCGTACCACATGGCAGACACTGGTGACTTACGTACTTTATTTCTTCCAGCCCTTAAGACCCCGAGGTAGGGATTTTTATGCACATTTTACAGATGAGGAAACTGAAGTTCAGAAAATTTAAATAATGTAGGATTAGAAATCGATTATGTAGAAGAACTAATACAACAACTTCAGAGTGTGTGGTGTTTCCAGCATCCCATTTTGTCCTTGGTTTCAGAGGCTAGGACAGTTTTATGGAAGAGGTAAAATTTGAGCTGAGCCTCAAAGACTGAGTAGTACTTCAAAAGATAGTTCTTAACTTTGAGTAAAGCTATGCCATTTAATCCCTCAAAATTTTTTCTACATTCTAAGGGAAAAAATGGATATTATATGTAGCATCTTGTTTGTGGGTGTTTTTTTAACTATAGTTTCAGATACCCATTGTGTACTATGAACATGTAATTAAATCATTTTTGTAGCTTCCTTTGACATTTTTGATTGTATTTTAAAGTTGTGCCTTTTAAATCCTTGCTCAGGAATACAGTGTTCCAGATTATAATATAGATCCTTTTGAATATATAAAGTGGTTTTGATAGTTTTTACCTGTTTCAGAAATGACCATTCTTTGTAATTTTCTTACAGTAAATTAAAAGCTGCATTATAAATGCTTTAATCATTACAGTTAATTAACTAGCTTTGTATTGCTAGTAGAAGTATAACTGAATTGTTCATGATGGAGGCTCGGGTGGGATTTGAAAAGTCCATGATTTGGGAATTTTATACTTTAGCGTACTACTGTGCGAGTGCATGGCACATCCCAGATGTCAAATGTTTGAGTAAACATAATAATCTCATGAGATAGATAGAGCTATTGTGTTTGTTCTAAATTTAAAAATGAATAATTTGATTCCTAGACAACATGTGCTTATGGTCACAGAGTAAGTCAGTAGAAAGGACAGGACTTGAGGTTTCTAGACTTTTTCTGGCTTCTCAGAGCTTGCAAAGAAGAGTGTTAGTAAATTAAGCTGTGATAAAAATGTTCATTTTGTACACACAGTTCTTGGTTATGTACAAGAACAGAAAGAGTAGTCTTTGATAAATGAAAGTATCAGATAATTACAGTACCATTTCCACTTGATTTTAAAAATGAATTACATTATTTCTCCCAATGGATTGCCTTCTTATCTTTATTTTTGTTCGGCTAATATTAAAATGAGTTTTTTTGCCTCGAGTGTAGAGGGAAATGAGAGATTCACCTGAGAGGGAAATGACCTAGATTCTTGAGATTAAAGATTTTCTATATTATTGCCATTCAGATATTTGAGAATTTATTGCTTTAAAGTTTAGAGAAAACAAGTGTTTTTCTTAGGTACTTGGTTTTCCAGTTAAGAAGTTAACTAATCACGATGCATTTAAAAGTTCGTTTTTATAAGATTAAGAAATTCGAATAAAAAGAGATCCTGAACTAGAGGCATATATGAAAGGTACACATGGTGGAGCCGTTACGGTTTGAGTGTTCCAGTACAAACTTCAGAAGCTAGCCGCGGTGTGCTCTGTACGGTGTGTTTATACTGTGCCGTCCCGTCAAAAGGCACATTCTGTAGTGTTGTAACGTAGTGTCCCATTTTCACTGTGGCTAGAAACCTAACGGACCGTTCTTGGATCTAGGCGGTTATCACCTTTCTCTGTTTCCTCTCTTCTATTAAGGCCTGCGGTATCAGCCTGCTTTTCTGTCCCATTTCAGTTCCCACCACCTACTCAGTCCCTTGTGGTTCCATTCCATTCCTCTCCCAGTCCCCTTCCCGCCGCCCTAAAGATTTGCCTATTCTCTCTCCCCTTCCTGTTTCCTGGTTGCATTTGAAGTAGGGCTCTCAGAGGACCTTTAATGTTTACGTGTTTGATTGCTCATCTGCACAGAATGGAGGGATAACCGCGAACGCTGAGATGCTGGATTCAGGAGCGATGGTTTTCAGCCTGTTCGACTTCAGCATTGTTGGGTGCCTGACCCTCACCCTCAGAAATTCTGCTCAGTGTTCAATTTGTAAACCATTGATTTTATTCCATAAATGTGTTTTTGAGAACTTCGTATTATTACTTGATTATTCAAATGTAGGCTGACCCTTATTTAGTGATCACGTGGTTCAACAGTACATCACCTAGTGCACGAGTTGCCTTTAACATGTTCTTTATCTCCAGTGTAAATCATTCCTGCTCTCTTCCCAACCCTTAGATCAAGTATTCGTATTATTTTTAAAATCTAGGAAATGCTTGTTAGGTAATACTTTTGGTAAAGGAAATAGTTGTTCCTACTTTATCTACTAATAAACCCATGTTTTTATTTATCAAGTATTAGAATAGAAATAAGAAGACCTGAGTTTACCTAATGAGACCACTTGAGTGACCTTGGCAAATTACATAACCTCATGTAAACCGGGGCAGTTGAACAAAGTTCCTTCCAATTAAAATGATTTTCTTCTTTGTTTTGGCTTTTGCTTTGAAATAAAATGTATCAGAAATATCATGTGGACATTTCCTTTTTAGTGGGAAGTTATCATAAATAATTTTTTGTAGGGAAGTGTCTAACTTTTGTAGTCATATGGCCCTTTGAGATTCTTTTTCCAGTAAAATTCAATATAGATAGTTTTGCATGTATTATCAGTAGTATTCACACACACACTCTGAAGCCCATTTATGGATCTTGCTACAGGACCATTTCTAAATGTGGCTTAGACTTACAATTCTTGCCTTGAACCAAAAAACAAATTCATGGACAGGACGGGACTCCAGGTTTCTAGAGATTTTCAAGATTCTTCCCTCATAGCTGGCAATGAGGAGTGTTTGTAAGTTAGTATTGTTGGAATATCATTTGTAATTATCCTCAGTGAGCCTTTTAAACTCGAGAGAAAAATTACCTCCCCCCTGCTGGAGGGAGGTAGTACAGTGCAAGTAGCTCGGTCTGCAACTCTGTCTGCAACTGATTTGCTGTTTTGTTTCTCATAGCACAGGTGCAGCAGTGATCAATGGCTCTCAGCATCCATCGTCATCGTCGTCTGTCAATGATGTGTCTTCAATGTCAACAGATCCGACTTTGGCCTCAGATACGGACAGCAGTCTAGAAGCATCAGCTGGACCTCTGGGCTGCTGTAGATGACTACTTGGGCCTTGGGGTGGGGGGCGGGGAGGGACGGGGAGTCGGTTAGTCATTGATAGAACTACTTCGAAAACAATTCAGTGGTCTTATTTTTGAGTGATTTTTCAAAAAAATGTAGGATTCATTTTGTAGTAAAGTAGCTTATTTTTTTTAATTTCAAGTGATGTAATTTAAAACCTAAGTTGTGTTTTAAAACAGCAACAAAACTGTATTGTATTTTTTGCTGTAATTAACTGTATAATGTAAACCTAATTATTTTATCATGGTTTAAATTTTTTGCATATTTGCTTTATCTTATGCTGCTGATTTTTTTTTTTTTACTGAATTTGTAAGATTTTGTTTATCAAAGCAACTATTATATGGTGACTTGCCTATATCATGAATTATTTAAGATTTTTATAGTTTTTTTTATTAGAATTTATTTCAGATGTTTTGTTCATGATACTATCCTTCAGGGTTATGTGCTTATCAATGAAATAACCCCAAAGGAGTGAGGGAAAATAACCCGTAGCCAGTTATATTCAGGAATAACTACTGTAAATGATGAACGTGTTAAGAGACCTCCAATATTTGCTACTTGCCAGTCCTAATTTAGTTACAACAATTGGTAGGCACCCTACTTAATTTTGGCAAAAGCCCCATCATCTAAATGGCACAGTAACACAGAGCATGTCTTTGAGGATGCTGGGCTTCCGCCACCACCTTCTTATCTCCCCACCCCACCCGACAAAAGTCAAGTAAAAAGATTATGGTGTATTCTGCAAATTTGTGGCATGCTCAAAGTTTATGATCACATAAAGTCAAGAGGATACTTCATGAATAATACATTTCAATGCCAATAAACAGATGGTTCACTTCTACTAGCTATGAGGCTGTTTTTGTATCCACTGAGTTAATCTACTCAGGCTGTAGGCCCCAGCAATGTTCTAGAGTCTGGTCTTTCCGTTCCCTGCAGCCGCAGGCCCCTGCACCTTTCCGCTTGCCTATTACTTGGCGTGCCAGTTGAGCACCGGTTCTCCTGGTGTTTCTGGCCATTTGATTCTGCCTGTAGCATAATCATATCTATTCTTGCTGTCGGGAGGTTCCAAAGCCTACTGAGAATTGTGTAGGTGTTGTATCAAATGAGCAATATATACCGTTCATCTGAAAATAGTAGCACACAGCCATATATAGGATATCATTTTCTAAGGACTGTTCCTTACATTGAGCAGAGCAGGCATAAATGGTGGTTACTTGGTCTGAGTCTTTCATTTTTTTATACCTGATCTTCAATATAACACGCAATGTGGATGTCGAGTAGTGTTAAGAATGGTGCTGCTCCTGACAAGTGTATGTTAACTGTTTACATTTTATATCTGCAGAATTATTTCTCTATAACTGAATTTTTCCTAAGTAAAATGTCATTGGAGTCTCATTGTTTCTGAAATACATTATCTGTAATATAAGCCAAGCCCCAGGCACCTTTTGTTATCTCTGGAACAAGAGGGATTTAATGTAATGAACTGGGAAATGCATACTTAAATAAGCGGCAAGGTTCTAGGCAGAAAGCTCTTTGGAATTCGTGGCCAGAAGGAGCAGAAACAGATGCAGCTCAACATGCAATGTCTGAAAGTTCACTTGGCGTTTTATTCATATCCTCAGTGCAGAATTCCTTTTCAGCAAGATATTTTAGGTCATTGTTAATGTGCAATATTTGAGATTAAAATCCATTAGCCTTTTTGTATACTTTGAAACAGCGAGTTTGTTTTCGATGGTTTAGAGTCATGATTTCCAGCGCCCTCCACCTTGTTATCAGTCCCTTTTCTGCGCATACAACATGATGCAGTAATTTTATTAGGCAGATTCGAGTCTTAAGACTACAGCACTTCTTGAATTGTAGACACGCAGGATCGGATTCACAATTTTAGCAGAAATTTAAGTATGAGGGTGTTCTTAGTTTGTTAATTTGACAGTTATTTAGCTTTATTTTCTTTAAGATAGATTATGTCACTATTGCACTTTCTCAAGACTCCCGTATTTCGTGCTGGATTGCTGATAAGCCATCTCTGTCAATACATGTTTTGGTTAAGCAAGGAAGACCAGGTGTTCTGAGTACTGTGTCACTTGTAAATGCCAGCTCCTACTTGCCAACCATCATGTTTCAGTTGAATTCAAAGAAAACAAACTTGTATTGCTTAATGAAACCCAAAATACTTAACAAATTGTGTCCTAAAAGCAAGATCTGTTTATTAAATGTGTGTGCCCCAGGTTTTTAAAGCACTGTATCTAAATACAGCTTCCCTTCTTTTAAATTTGTTAAGCTAACTATATATTGATTCTTCTTATTTTATAATCTTTTTTTTTTTTTGAGACAGGGTCTTGCTCGATCTCCCGGGCTAGAGTGCAGTGGCAGCGTCATAGCTCACTGCAACCTCAGACTCCTCAAGCGATCCTCCTGCCTCAGCCTCCTAAGTAGCTGGGACTACAGGCATGCACCACCATGCCTGGCCATTTCTCATAATCTTTAAAGCATCTTAAACATTTTTTTAAGAGAAATTATAAATAACATTTCTATCAACTAGTACTTATGTAAAGCCACGTTTCGTGTCCTATAATTTTGGTTTTTCAATTTTATACACTTAATATACCTGCTGTCTTACTGTCAGAAAATTATGTTGACCAAGATTTATTATTCAGCTTTGTAGGTTAGGAAAGAGACGCCAATCCTTTCTGCATGTCTTCCTGGTTACTATTCTCTTACCCTCTAATGTATACTGACCATTTGTAAAATCATTGGGATCGCTCAATTCCAATGTACTTAAATAGAGCATCTCAGCTCTTTTATGCTGTGTGCTGAGCGGTTTGCAGTTTGTCGCACACCTTTGGCTGCCGATTGTTCCTGGCGTGCACTCTTCCAAGTTGGTGAAGGCACAGCGCCTTCACACCAGACTTCCTAAGAGAAATACCAGCCTCTTAAATGAGCAGGCTACCGCACAACCCCCTTAACAACATAGAGAAGCTTGATTGCGAAGCAGCAAACTTTCCTGTGAGCCTTTCGTTATTCTGCTCTATGCTAATCCTACTGTGTTGTCTAAAAAGGAGAAGAGGACATCAGTGTCTGATAGTGAAGTCAGCATTCCTTGGTTACAGATAAGACTTGGTTTACTCTGTCGGCCAGCATCTGCTACACGTATGAAGACTTAACTATTCAGTGTTGCCTAGGCACTAGCCTGCACAGCATTTTGAGGTAAAAGCATAGTATATTTTCAAAAATACTCTCGTAGTTTGTGAATGTTGTTCATTAGTCGCGCATTAGCTGTAGAGTGGATGCATGAAGCCCCACGACCCCAGTAAACTTCTCTTACGGTAGAAAAATCACAGGCCACCATTCTGTCATTAGCAGCCCTCTTAAATGTTGCCTCTCCATACTGTCGCATTTTACTGTGCATTGTGTTTCTACTGATCTCTTAGGTTTTTCGTGAGTTAAAGGAAACTAATTTTTCCTTAATAGCAAGAAAGATAAAGAGGTAAAGGGCATTGAAGCAGAAATGTGTAGTTTGGGGTACGATTAGAAAACTTGCAAGGAAAACAAAAGTCCTAATTAATTTCAAACTGACTGCTCTTAGTTAAGTGCTCTTATGGAGAGTCTAATAAGAGTAACACTTTCTGGCCATTTCTGGTTTAGATTCTCTTTGTTACCGAAACTTTTGAGAAATATTACCTGTGGATTAGTTTTGCACAATGTTCTCACAATGACTTACAAATTAAACTAGGTTTTTATTGAACTACCTCACACTAATTTTCTATGCTTTCCCAAGTAAGCTGTTGCCCTTACTGTTAGATCTTTACTGAGTGTGAATTACAAATGTGTGTTAAATACTTTTTAGCCAGTGTTGACACAATACCAGTAAGTATGTAAAACATATAACTTGCATCAGTAGGAGACATCACGTGTAAAATCTTTCACTGTGTATCCTGGAAAATTGTGTTAGATGTGCTGGTTGACATTGTTACTGTTTTTGTAAGTAGAAACCTGCTCGTGATAGGAGTCCATTCTTTACATTTTACAAAAGGAGTAAATCTTAGTAAATTTTACGAAGAAATAAATTACTTTTGTAGGCCCAATATTTGGTATATTTTTGAGAAGCTGTTAATCTTTTAGTTGAATGATGAAGTTAAACTGAAGTAGCTGTCTACCTGGACCGTGACATCTATTTTCTCATTACAGTTCATCCTGCTCAGCAGGTTGTCAGACCTGGAAACTGAAGTATGATAATTGACATTTGTTTTTCTCCCTCTACCTTCCTTCTTTCATGCCTCTCCTTCCCCTATTCCAGTCCCTCTTCTCCTTCCCTCCTCGTCCCTCCTCGCCCCTCCCCTCCCTGCCCCTCTCCTCTCCATAAAACAAAGTGGGGCACTTTGTAGGGAATGCTGAGATCATTATTGTGGTTTTTAATCATTCATGCCCTAGTCATTAAACATGCACCACTGGAATGTAAACAATGTTACCTAGTATGTCAATGGTTACAATATTTTAAATAAAAAAGAAAAAACTGGTATGAAAATTATGAAATTAAGTTTGTTTCATTGAAAACAAAAATTTGTGGTAAGAAGTTTTTCTTGGCAATTTTAGGATTTCCCTTAGATGGGGATAAGGGGGTATTATTAAAATACTAAGACAAATTTCTTAGATTTGAATTTTATAGATTGTAAAGAGCCTAAACTATAGCTCTGGTTTTCTGGTTGATCTAGGTTTGCTTTTCTCATGTTTGAAGTTGCTGGAGAAAGTTTACCTAAAAAAGAAACTTTGCTTCAATGCCCTTAACCTATTTCTTGGTAATCATTTGAGGGAGCAGCCATCATGTACACGTGGCAAAAATAAGTGTTTAAAGCTGGGTTCTGTTTCAAAACAAGCAGAGGGTTTTTGGCTCTGAGTGTATTTCCAGCTTTTGCTGTGCTTATTGCTTTGCTATGCTTTTTGCCTGCATTGGGTGGGCTGCTGTGTGAGAAAACAGGGTCACTCGCCACATTCTGTCCCAACTTCTGTATGATGACACTGCTCCATCCTGCTCGACTCTTGCCCCGATAAGCCTTGCACCTGCTT